AGGAGAGAGTTATTAATGGGGTTGGGAGAGGGGGAAGAAAAAGTATGTGAAGGAGAAAGAGGGGAGGTGTCAGCAGTAGCCTGTTTTCGCCTGCCCGCCCTGCTGTATGCAGCAAGTAAGGCGACCCGGCTGATGGTACCACGCGACGGCCGATGTGGCATGAGAGTATTGTTAGTTGTGTAGGTCATGGTTGTACGAGGGCTGGGATACTGCCAGGGCGCCCACACCTAGACAGGAGGACGATTAGGGTCCTCAACCAAAGCCTTTGGCTCAAAAGCCTAACCGCAAGGCAGCGGTGTTTGGCGGGAAATGCAAATGCATTACCATTTCTACGGAACAAGTCGCCACATGTTCCAACCCCCAACCTGGAGGGCCAGGAGACTGGTATGAGAGACTCTGTGAGTGGCTAATGCTAATGCATAAGATTCAAACCGGTGAAATTTTTCTTTAAGGGTTGCATATACAGTGAACTTAATTTCGGGGCTGATAAACTATCATAACTTTGTGCGATATTTTTCATACCCCAAGTTGTTCAACTGACATCAAATGGTTGTAGACGTGAATGTTTATGATGTGCGTTCACAATGTCACTACTCGTTATGACGGCAACTTTGCCTCTTGAAACGTTTTCCATCGCCTTTTTATCGTCACTCCTTTGGTACACTTCACCCAAATCGGGAGCCTTTCGTCACAAAGAATACAGAATTCAGTGTGCGTTATCATTGCCAAAAACGAACAACAGAGCCTGATGGCTTTCTTGAGGTTATGGTGAACGGCAGCACCTGAGTGCTAACAAGCGCTTCATTCGCCTGATGAAAAGACGAATAGTAATATTTGTATGATAAACTCATTCATGTCAATCAAGGTACAGGTGTGTTTGCTGATATACCCAGGTGTGAGGAACAACAAACAGTTTTGGACGAGTGTGGGTATGCGTTTCATGCGTGATATAAAGGTGCATATTTCCTTTCGGTTGTGGGTCGGAAATCGCCTTCGCATCAAGAAAAATCCCAAAACGCATGTTGGGGTCTACGTTTGTTCTCCAGTTAAGCCGTTACAATATGGACGATAATTTGAACTGTGATACCACTCGAGCGTTGGAAACTTCTTCAAGGTTGCCTACATACTGTTTTTTTGTTTTTCTTTAACATGATTGGAATATTTAAAAAAATTTACTATTCAACGCGATAGTCTGCACAAGTATGTGTGGGATACTTATCTGTCTTTAGGTCACAGGTAATTCAAGCAGATTTACTGGTGTTTTTCCTCTACAGATAGCTAAATTTGAATGTTGATAATATCCGAAGCATTGTCTCCTCTTCAAGTTCTACACTTCCTAGCTCAAGTGCTGTCTCATTTTTATTCAAACATTTAGTACGTCAAGGTGAGTGACCCTCAAGGTGGTTTGGACTGAGCGAAACCAAGATGTGAATTATTCACCAAAGAGATCTTCCCTCTTCGAATAGGATGAGCTAAATCAGTTTTTGATTTCGGGGACACCCAACAGACAATTTCTAGAGGGTCAAGTGAAAGTCTGACTATTGATGGAGCAAAATAAATTAATTTGTTGACTACGGTAATTAATTAATTAATTAATTAATTAATTAATTAATTAATTAATTAATTAATTAATTAATTAATTAATTAATTAATTAATTAATTTGTTGCTACGGCAATCCAGCAAACGACGGTGAACAGTTATCCGACGTACTGAAAAAAGGAAAAGATGCACGAAAGTGATCTGCATACTTGATCACTAGTATAAAATTCATTTCAAGCATTCATCAAATGAAAGGAATGCTAAGAACCACCGTTTGTGGGGACAAACCACTAAAACATTCAACATCGATCCATTTGATGACTATTAACTTGGTAGAAGTAGCACCCTTCTGGGATAAGATATAAGATGCATTTGTCCTTTTCGTAGTTGGGCTCTTACTCCTATACGTAACTTCGTTGTTCTCATCTTCGGCTGTAGGAAGCCGAGCTAACTTTGGTCAAACAATCTTTTGGCGGTCAGGCATGTGCGACGGTGCTTGCCGAACCAGGTAAGATGCGTGAGTTGCAGTGCGTTCCAAACTATACTAGACCTGAAGTAATGTGGAACCGATTTGCCTCTAGAACAAGTCCTGAGCTCTTTAGCGGTGAATTTGGATCATTAGAATGATGGTTTGAAGCGGTTCGGAGATACACTGCACGTGATTATCAACTGTCTAACAAAGAAATGATTATTTTCTACCCTAACGTCTTGTTAGCAGAGTACAGGACAGGGCTTGCAAACAGAAAATGAAGGCGACTACTGTCAATCTGAGTGACGGGTGATCTTCACACTATCCTTCCTTATGATTCTGTCTATGCATGGCTGCTATCCCTACACAACATGGGATGAAATCGGGATCAATACCGTGTGTGTTATCACTCATTCATCATCATCATCAGTGACAGCATGCTCGGCTGCCGGACAACCATGATTGAGTTGAAAGCGTTATTTTGAAGAAATGAATGAAGATGGACGAGGAAGGACTTAGTGCTAGCTTACTACAATCATTTCGAGGTGCCTACACCTCCAGACACTCATTCAGGCAATATGAACAGAAACTGACAAGAACGCCACTGATATAGGTTGGCAGCCATATCTTGCAGCACCTCCAACTAGGCGCAGTGGGGATCACGTGGTCCTCATCCTGTAAGGCGAGTAGCACAGACAGCACCCAAACACTTCTTACTCTCCTTCATATCCCCCTGCAAGGTCAAGGGCTGGCAACCTCTCCGCTAACGCCACTCACTAGCTTGGCTGCCTAGCAAAAATTAACCTGCGGTTTTAGGTCAGGCTTGTTTGGTTGGGGTTCGCACAGGAGACACACTCATGATGCCCGGATATGAGACCTTCAATGCTAATAAAAAGCGCATCCAGGCTAACTTCTTCGTCTCCAATCCTATACTTTACTAGAGTCTTTAATCCCCATAGTTGTAGCGCAGCTGAGGGCCAGTATTTACTACCAGCGTGCCGCTGGTTGCATTGGTCACTACGACTATCTGACAACCAACACTCTTCATACTGGGCGCTAGAAAGATTTACAAACGAAACGTCACTTAAATGTCCTTTAACTTCCTCAGTTGATGGTCAGTAACCCTCCAACCTTAAACTGACAGCCCTCTCTTGAATGACAATGTATGTTTTCACATATTAATTATAAAGGCAGGATGTTCGTTACGCTTGTTTTCTTTGGGGCTGGTATTGAACCGAAACTACATACTCTTCAGCCGCCATGATTTCCTGAACTCGGGATGTGTATTTCCGTACTACAGGAAGCGTATCATCAGAAAGTCAGGCTTGACACAATGAGGCTGATGAAACAACTTAAACAAAAGAAAATCGCTGTGCGAATGCGGATCAGACAAGGGGTTAGGGTGACTCAGCTGGACTGCACCCTGTTGAAGCACCAGAACTCAGCTCTCGAGGAGACTTTGTTGAACAAAATGGACCAAGTAAACCAGCTGAATCGGCAGTGCAGTGCATTACATCAAGAACTTCGCAGAGCGAAGGTAAGCTGAAAGGGTGTAACCGTGCCATCGAGTGTTTCAGAAAGACTTGGATCGTTCAACGGACGACCTGACAAGAACACTCCGTGCCTTCGAAAGAGCGGTAGCAACACTTAGAAAGAAGCGCGAGGAAACTTTAAGAAGAATCCAGGTAAGCATCAGCTGGTCGGCATGCTGCTCACTTCTAGCATGATTGATCTACCATACTTAACCCGTTTACATATTCAACAGGTGTAAAATGTTGCTTTGATTAAGCCAGTCACTATAATCTTTTAATGAATATGTAGAACAGAGGCTATCTTGAGGTCTAGTTGAAACGGTATTCCATGTGTTATTCTCATAATTAGAACGAAGAGACTGATCAAAACCTGATAGCTCACTACTGTTTTTGTCCTGTTTATGCCTCTCCAGGTAGGCATAGACCAAGGAGTTTACTAATGAAAAAGGCATGACAAACAACTGGTCGAAATCTGAAAGAAAGGCTTATCTAATGAACCCAAAGCAAGACTAAACCGGATAGCTGACAACCGGTAAACTCTAATCTGTTGACTTCTGTCCATTTTCCATTGGAAACTGAAGTTTAATACAGATTAAGTCGCTGAAACCGGAAGCGGAAAATATCACGATATTGCCCCATTCATTCTTGAACAATTCTCCTCAAGCAAAATGACCGTAAAATTACTATATCACTATCAAGATCCGAGGGATCGCTGTGGAGGTTAGGTGCGATCTGTTTAAATCAGCGATATTTTGTTTGTTCATAATTAATGGCTCGGTGGTTAGAGCGCAAACTTACTGACGGGAAGTCCCGTGGCTCGAATTCGACCTCTGACTCTCGACTTCCTGTCTGGACCTGGGCAACCTAGCAGCATCTCAGCCCTTGTGCTTCCTTCTGGTGGTATGGCAGTAAGGTACGGAAAGGATGCTACAGCTGAATGATTTTTTCTTAATTCCTGGTGCAAACGCCCATTTGTGTCGACAGGTTTGAATATACCATGTAATATTGTTCATTGTCATTATTGACGGGACAAGTGCAGAGCACCAGAATATCAGCGTTCTGCAGCGATGGGAACTCCGTTGTTACGAAACAAGCGGAAGAAGGGCGTAAAAAAAATTTAGGCAACATCAGCAAATTCATTAGCCAGGGCAAACTCGGGATAGTGGATGGCTGGTCTTCCTTCTAAAAAACTGCCAGCTGAGCACCCTTTCGGTACCTAACTGCCGTGCCACCCGAAGGAAGCACGAAGGCTAGGATACTGCCGGGTTGACCAAGCCTAGAGAAAAGTTGAGAGGCAGAAGTCGGGTTCGGACGACAGATCTTCCAGTCAGCAAACTCGCACTCTAAGCAATGACCCACCCCAGAGCACCTAGTGTAGAGCTTCATTAGAAGTAAGAAAACTTGGCACAACATACAAGCAACAAGAGTCGACAGCAGTTTCAATCTGGCCATGATATTTAGCACCCAACTCCAAAGTTAGAAAAAATCGTTCAGCTGTAGCACCCTTTCAGTGCCCAGCTCCCATGCCACACGAAGGAGGAACGAGGGCTGGGTTACTGCCAGGTCGCCCAAACCTAGACAGGGGAAGTAGAGAGGCAGAGGTCGGGTTCGAACCACGGACCTTCCGGTCAGTCGCGCTCTAATCACTTAGTCCATCTCGCCTCACTCCAAAGTTGATCCGATGTACCACAAGCATGTTCGTACAGCATCAAGGTCGATGTACGAATGTAAACATACTCAAAACAATCAAGCCTTTACAAATTCAGTGGTGCTATAGATAGGCAGAGAAATTGCAGGGCAGCTGTAAAGAGTTGCACATGCCCCTATCCCATCTGCCGGTTGTGTACTCGTACTTTATTAAACAACCGAGCCATAGCTCAGAAGCAATTATTTCCAACTTGGTCATTTTAAACTCTTTGTTGTGAAATATGGAATACATCTGTGCGCACCTCTCGATAGATTCGCATATGGGGCCCACAGCGGAGTCACGAACGTTCGTGATCACAGTGAACGGATAATTGATTGCACATTTCGTCTTTTTTCTATAGGAGATCAAGAAAGAAACGTGTTGGAAAAAACAAATGGAGGACAACTATCATCGATATAAACTCCCGTCTATTATTATGGCCATTGAACACAATCAGGAAAACCGACAAATCACTAGGGAATTGAAGAGACGAAAAAGACTCATGCAAATAGAAAAAGTAAGCCATTATTTATTTATTTATTTATTTATGTTTATTTATTTATTATTTATGCAAACTATCATCATTATCGTCATCCAAATCGTTATCCTCATCATCGTCATCACAGTCATAAACGTCATCAACATCATCATCATCATCATCATCATCATCATCATCATATCATCATCATCATCATCATCATCGAGATTGTCATCATGAACATCATAATCACCATCGTGATCAACATCATCATCGTAATATTCATCACAACCATCATCATCATCATCAACGTCATCATGACGTGGATTATCACCATCACTATCAACATCCTCATAGTTATCAGCATCATATTCAGCATCCTTATGATCATCATCACCGTCATAATCATCACAATCATCATTATCATGGTTATTATTATTATTATTATTATTATCATCATCGTCGTCGTCGTCAACACTATCATCATCAGTATCTTCGTCATCATCACCATCTTCATCATTATCTTCATCATCATCGTCGTCTTCATCGCCATCGGCTTCATCATCATGAACATCATCATTGTGATCATCATCAAAATCGTCATCACGATCATCATAATCACCCTCGTGATCAACGTCACCATCATTGTCCTGTTCATCATCATCCACACAATCATTATTATCGTCATCATCATCATCAATCCTAATCGACAGCATGGCATCAGTGCTCAACAATGAGGCTTTACTGTCTTACAACTATGATTTATTTGAAAAAGGAGGAGAATTAGTCCTGGCCTACCACAATTATTTTGAGCGCTCACACAGAAAGTGATAACAAGAACACCACTGACATCGATTAGCACCCATATCTTGCAGCAACAAACAGGAGCCATCGGGATCACGTGGTCCCCATACCGAAGGACGAGTGGCAGCAATAGCACCCAGACATTTCGTAATCTCTTGCAAAACCCTAAGCTAGGTCAAGGATGGATCACATCTCTGCTTTTGCCACTCTGAATTGGCACGGAAAACCGGAAAACAGCAGTCTTCGGCTTAGATTCAGGGATAGACCATCCTGACGCCATAGGTGTCTCAAATTAGCAAACGCGGCCCAAGCCTTGCAGATTCATGCATTCACCTCATGTCACACCACAATCAGAACTAATACAACTTTCAAGATAAGTAAAACGTTCCAAAAATTCCAGTACCTCTCTCTGGATTGTAAGTGGCGTGTTCAGTGACTGCACGTCCACAAGCATGACCTTACACTTTGTGGGTGCAAAGTGCATACCAAAGGACGGGATGACTTTGGTCAGTTCATCAAAGAAGACCTGCGCCTTCCGCTCTTCGAGGACGAGAACGACATTCTCTGCATATTCCAGATCGGCAAGGTTTTTGCCAGAGACTATTTGGAGACCTTCAAGTGATCATGAAATTAAATCTGGGCATCCCAGATGGACACCGTGTTGTGTACGGAAGCTTTTGGAGAGCTTTTCGTATACTCTCAGGTCCGGAAGTCTGGGGATATTCAGAACTTATTATGTTCACGAACTTTGGGGGCATTCCTTGGTGGACAAGCACGTCAATGAGAACAGGCCGGTCAACCGAGTCGAATGCGCCTTGAAAATCTAGGAATACTAAAATTGTGGGTGATTTGTACGTTTGGCGTTTTTCTACCACCTGACGGAGTGTGAAGATTTGATCAACACAGCTCCTATCAGGCCGGAACCCCGCTTGCTGCTCTCGAGTCAGTGTTTCAGCAGCAACCATGAGGCGACAAAGTACAGGTGACGCCAGCAGTCTCGCTACAACCATGGTTAAGATGACCCCCCAGTGGTTACCACACTCCGTACGGGCCCATTTTTTAAAATGGGCACTATCATCGACTCCCTTCAGTTGTCTGGAATAGTCTCGTTTTCCAAAATGCAGGCAAACAGATCAGACAAGCGCTGAGGATCTCGCCCCCACTTTTGAACAGTGCGAGTGGGAGGCCGTCCGGACCAGGAGCTCGGTGGCGCTTGAGAACACATGCGGTCACAACCCCCCAGTTCGTAGGTTCACCGTTCAGGGTTCTGCGTCAGTTGCCGGCTCCAGATGAATGATAGCTGGTGGCCACGACAACTGTTGTTTAGTGTATTCGGCCCAATGGTCGAGGCGTTCCTGCTTATTAAAAATAAGCACGCCGTTTCGATCCTTGATGGTTTCACTCACAGGCGCTTTCGGGAGCCGGGCGCATGGATCGATTGAAATAACCTTCGGGCATTACCGGCTTTCTGGGCCTCTTCCATTCCCTTAGCCTTCCGAGTCCACCAGACTTCACGGTCGATGCGTACGCTCATTTTCACCTGACGCGAGCGGAGTTACGTTCGGGACTGACTTGGATACTTCTCCGAGACCTAAAAAGTGCCCCTGTTCGGTGGACCTAGTCGCGCCGTGCCACAAGCAAGACTGTCAGCAGTAGGCAGAGGTGACGATGCCGTCCCAGTATGATTTTACGTCTAACGGTGGAGCAGTTGGAAGCGACTCCAGAAGACGGTTCTGGTAAATTAGTCCGACATCCGGATCTGCCAGTCTAAGTTGCCAAGCGATTTTTCCGCATCTTACGCGGCCTTTGAAATCGAAGGGAGAAGCGACTCCGGACTAGCGCGTGTTAAGGTGTACCGTTTGGAACCAATCACATGTGTTGATACAGATACAGACGTCTCATCAGAGTTACATAGACGTACATGAATGAAAACTGGCAACGAGGGGTGAAGCAGAAGGGGATTGGCACTTCATGATGAAGAACAAATCATACTAGCATTAGATCTAAGGCTTCGGGGTTGTAAGATATCTCCTAGGTATTCAAGTGAGCGAGAATTTTCACGTGCTGAATTTCTTGCGCACGGATGCAAACCTGTGCTGAGAAGTAGACGCTTTGGAAAGAATTTTGTCATACATGGAACCTCAAGCAATCATCCATCCGCTGGCAATACAGACTGAACGACTGACACTAGGACATAGATTTATGTAGAGTACTTTAATGTTGTTTGGGGTATACGCCATGAACAGTGTTGTGAAATTACGAGGCTTTACAGTTCAGACAACTAGGTGGCAATGCGAGGCTCTCTCAGATGACGATTGGAAGCATATCATTCAGCGGTTATATGTTCAGTATGACTTATTTCACCGCAAGCGTTGATAGTCGCACTTGGGCAGACGAAAGATGTTGCGTTCTGGCGGTCCGTTGGAGTGTGGAGGGAAAAAACTAAATGTGGGTTTCCCGGGGAACCGGAAAAAGAACGTGGAAACAACTGTAAAGTGCGTGGGAGGAAAGAGTTGCAACATAACTTACCAGCACGTCAGACGTTTCAGTTGGATCTGCCATGATGAAGCATTTCAATCTTGTTGACGGTCTTCCTCCAAAGGCAAAACTTCATTCTCTTCGGCTTTATCAACCGTTCTCATATCCGTCACCTTGTTCACAGTATTACCAGCTTCAACCAGTGAAAGTGAACATTTGGCGGCGAACGGGTGGGATGTGGCGGATGCTGGCAATGAAAGGAACTCGATTCGACCCATTTCTTGAAATCCTGTTGCTACCGTATCTTGTCGTCGAAAATGACTTGGAGAGAGCGGTAATGTCCGAGGATCAGTTGGGTAGCGTATGAAATCAGTTCACGAAAGCTCAACTCCAAGTGTAGATTCAGAAATCAACCCTTTCTCGTCAGTGCAATTTCATATGTACCATGTTTCGAAGGGAGCTGGATCCATTATCACCGGGAGGTCTCAATATGCGTATATATCGACGAAAGTAGTATTGCATCTTAGTAAAATGGGAAGCACCTATTTCTTAGCTCGACTCTTTTGGTGTTACTGCCACTCAAAAACAAAGTAACGAAGTGAGTGGGAACACATATGATTAACTTTGGCACATCTTACAGAACGGTTCCTATAGATTCAATCCCACTGTGGTCAGTTTACGACATATAATCCCAAATCAAAGATGTTCTTGTTGTCCTCCACACCGAAAATGGTTATGTTGGCTGTAAAAAGATAACAGTAACATTATGTTCAGCCGAATAGCCTGCTGCCGAACCAAAAGTCACACTGCATCATTTTGTTCATCATTTTCAGATGAAACTAGAAAATCACCGGCGACTATGGCATCGCATTCAGTTCGCTCAGATCCTACGCCCGGCCAGCAAATACGCGCCCGAAGGCCACTCACCGAACAACACTTCTTCAGTGTTGGTAAGCACGGATGAAATAATGAAATCGGATGAAACGGATCAGGAGCAGGAGATTCGGGGTGCCACTTGGAAGAAGAGTGTAGATACGTCGGTTTTATGAAAACTAAGATCTAAACGGAAACAGCTGAGATACGAATAAAACGTATCCTGACCACAGCGACGCATAAACCTACCGGAACTTTGACGGTTTAGATTTAGCCTGTCGCGAGGTGTACAAAAATAATGCATCGGCGATGCATTAACCATACAGTATACACTATTTGACGACTATTTTTGATCTTCTGTTGCAGACATTGGTCGAGAAGGGGCAAAAGCTGCGAAATCAAGTAGCACGTAACTGCTTGAAAAAAGTTGATTACATGTTGATAGCACTGCGACATTATTCGTTTTGCGTTAGGTTCGCTCGATCGATCAGCCAAATGCCCATTAATCGCGTGACATCACGAGGCAATGAATACGAACAGTAGTAAATCGTATCGTCTATTGGCCCTAGTTTTTGAGGTATTCATTCAATTGGTGTGAGGCAAGTATTCCACTCTCAAACCAATTTTGTGGATGGCGAGAACGCGGCGATATAATGTTGTTAGATTGAAGATGGACTTGTGAGTATGGTTAGTAATTCGGAAACTACCCCGTCGACATGGACATAAATACCGATAAGGCCATTAATCTTTTATGTAGAAAAGATCAATATTGAAAATTAGCCGCAAATGCAGTGAACTGAAAGGAAAGGAAGAAAATAGAGGACAAATACAGCTGATTTGGATGGAAGTAAATGCGGTATTTAAAACTTTCAGTTATGTGGAGACCGAGTGCCATTCATATAGACTGTCCAACGAGAAGCGGTATCAGACCATTGTACAGCGTGGTCGTTATCTATGCTGGCCAAAAGACGAAGTTGGCGAATGTGCAGGGCATGGTAGCTCCAACGGGCACGGTTCGGACCACGATGGATAAAACGACCCTCGAAGCTAGATTCAGGAATAAGCATCGAAGTTTTTATATCACCGGTGGCTGGAGTAACATGCCGCAGATCATAGAAGCTGCCCGATCCAGAATCAAACAAAGGTAGCAAAGTAGAGAGCGAGTTGAGTCCAGAGTGCCAAAGCTGAGTTGATCTTTTGCGGACCTCCGGAAGAGGAGATACCTGGAAGATGGATATTTTATATGTACGGATCACGTTATCGTAGGGTTGCCTGTAAATGTCAGTGGGTGTTTGAATATCAGAAAGATTAGGATTCTACAAGTTGGACAATGAAGGCAGTGGTTTGGTGTAGCCATTGCGAAAGTCCATCATCATTAGGTGTTGTATGGGGCATTCGTTTTTTGTGGAACGTGCTTCTGACTGCCAAAATAATCTACAGTATTAGGAGGATATATTTTTCAAGTTTTGGAAAAGACACTAAACAGACTAGGTTGTTTTGTTTGCATCAAACTACATCAAACTATGGGATCTGGTACATAAATAGTCCCTGTTGTCTTGTGATAAACACTGCGTCGAACTGTAACATCTGAGCATCGCCAGAGCAGTACGTCGAAGAATAAGAGACGATCATCCGTCTCTTGCTGCCCTTCGTGCCGAATTTAATTCAGCCAACACACCCAAACCTTTCGATATCTGCGTGAAGTTAGTTAAACTCCAATCTCGCCGTGGAAATATCTACCACCAGTGTTCATACACATAGTCTCATTGCCACACTGTCAGTTTATTGGCACCGTTATTCATCGACTGGATGGTAAACACTGAAAAGCTAAAAAGCTTCAGGATCACCATGATATTCTGATCTTCCGCCCCAGTAAAGGATCTGGTATTTTCCTCTGGGATCGCAAAAGCTACTTGGATAAGCTGCAAGAGTTTTGATGAGACAGAAAAGGTGGAGACAAGGCCAAATACAATAGACGAAAGCTGACTGAATACCTCGAAAACCTGGAATACAAAGGATGTGTCCTGGCCAAACAGTATACATCTCCTAGACTAGTGGGTATCCGCATCGCTCATTTATATAGTCCAATTGCGTCACATCCCAGACATGTTCAACTCGCCATACGAACCAAGTGTTAAATGGCGGGGACAAATTCTGGAACCAGTTTGACATAACCTCGGAGATTCTTTCCCTCGACCTGGCATCATTATTCATTGACGAACTACTGCCGAAAACAACTAATTTCACACGTGATTATATCATCCGGCATAGTATTAACATTGGAAAGTCTGCGTGAACTTTTACTGCGATTAATGTTTAACATCCATTTCCAAGTTAATGAATAGCGGTACCAATCAACTGACGGTGTGATCACTAAACTATATATAGGAACACTGCAGATATCTTCACAGCGAGATTGGAGTTCAACTAACTTCACGCAGCCAACGGAGGGCTTGGGTGCTACCACCGCTATGCAGACCATATATATGTAGTTGAGAACAATGAAACTAACACAGATGCAGTGTTGGCTGAATTAAATTATGCACACAGGGTAGTACGCTTGATGACATAGATGTACGTTTCATGGATGGTCGTCTTTCATTCTCAGATGTATTACCCTAACGATGCTCATATGGTGCACTTCAACGCAGTATGTATCCCAAGACAATATGTCAGGACTTCACAGTTTCGTGCCGCACAGAAAAACGTAGGTATTCACAATTGGGGGGCTAGTTTCTTAAGAAAGAACATGTTAATTATTTGCTGCCTATCCCATTTCAACGCAAACAGACTACCTGGTTCCACATGTTGTTGTTCTCTCCTCTCTATCGGTTGGTTTGCTGACGTATTCACCCGTTTGTTTAGTATTTTCACAAGTATGCGGGCCAGTTACCGAACGTCTCGGAAACCATTGGCCTGCCAAAAGAAATATGGACAAAAGCAACGCTGCTTGCCCAGTAAGACCGACCTTCAGAACGGAGTTACGTTAGACCTACTGCTCCACTCCGCACCGCGATAACTAAGGGCACGTAGCGATAACGCAGTGTGTTTGTTCCCCTGTTTGGAACAAGCGGCTTAGCTTCGCGGAAATCTTGCCTGCGAGTGACAAGGCAAAGCCGGGTTGCATTCGAGAGTGAAAAACGACACCCTTCTGACGTATCTTAAAGGTTATGCTCTAGTGAGCTTTGAACTAGTTTTGCAAAATGAAGCATATGTTCCACACACTCTGCAATTTTACTTGACTGAAAAGGAAACAAACACATCATACAGTTTAAGGATCAGCCACGTTGGAGCCGAAAAAGTAGCAAAGATTTTTCGAAACAAAAGCAGGTGCCCCGGATTTCGTCCAGGCAAGTGAGGCAAAAGCGTAAGGTCATGGGAGCTAATAAAAATTCAGCAAATCCTTCGGAAAGGAAGGCCAGTAACCACCACACATCTGAACTTATTGAAGTATTAGGTACTTCAGTATTCAATAGCGTCCTGACTAGCATCATGAACTGAATTGCAGTCTGAAACCTAACCACAAGGGTCACGTGTCTTATCCCTGTAAGCCCAAAGGAGATGATAATCAAGACGGTGGCGCACCCAAAAAGCACCAAGATTGTGGGTCTTCCGTGCATATGACGCCGCTACAACATTTGATGGAGTGTGGTGTCACGGCTGATATATCCTTCAACCGGTCGGAATTCCGCTTGATGCCACCTTAGGGTGGCAAAGAATCAGTGACCTTAAAGGTCCTGTTATTACGGGGATCAAGCTGACAATTCTGTGCTGACTACATTCTCTGTAAACCTCTCTTTCGAAGATATGCACTGTTATCGACCCACCTGTGAAAGGTCGTATAGACCAACTAGGGAATAGATCATGCCATTCAACACATGACTTCCTGGTCTGGTTGGATACTCCTCAAACCAGGGGAAAGCGAGCTGCCCCAAGAAATACGAAAGCACACCACCCTGGGCGACACTTCGAGCAAAAGGACCGAGAGCTCGATGGGCACTTTCCAAGTAGGTCATATCCTTCGTGTAATTGTACACTCGGACAAGTAGCGAGATTCCTTGCCCTGAAGAAAGAGGAAAAAATAAAGTACACTAAATGATGACGACACGAAATAAAATACCCCTTAGAACCATAGGGAAGGAGACTAAAGAACAATTAGCTAACTCAAACTAGATGGACTGAAAATCAAATGAGGTGTGATTGGATGGGGAAAAACTCCAGAGTCAAGCGTTCGTATCCAGTAAAAAGTAACTGCCCCCCCCCAAAAAAAAGTGAGTGAACCCATCCACTATTCGGTTCAGCTGTAGCATCCTTTTGGGGCCTAGCTGCCATACCACTCGTAGGAAGCACGAGGGTTGGGATACTGGCGCGTTGCCCAAACCTAGACAGGGGAAGTCGAGAAGCAGAGGTCGGGTTCGAACCACGGACCTTCCGGTCAGTAAATTCGCGCTTTGACCACTTCGGCCATCTCGCCGACTATTCAACGGAATAAGCATGGCTTTGAGCAACACCAATACCGAAGACTAGCAACCGTGTTGTTTGGTTTCAAGAAAGGGTAAAGATACCATATACAAGGTGCTATATCCGCCTCCCTAGTTAAAAATCGGATTGGCCTAGCACTACATTATTGCACTCCAGTGACGCAAAATCAGCGAAAACCAGAAGAATGAGCAGTGATAAAATCGCGGAACAGAAATGGCAAACTTTCAATGGGAACGCCCGAAATCCCTGTTGCTCTGAGTATTAAGGATAATGACCTCACTAAGTCAAGGAGTTCCAGTGTTCTATGAGTTTGTCAAAGTCAGACGTCCTGACATTCTTCACCAGTTCAGATGAAACTCTCGAGGCGATGTGATAGGGATTCCGAAGTGTCTCGATTCAAGTTTAAGGTGGGTTTAGTGTGAAGTGATAGTGTTCCAAAAAGCATGAAGTTCCAAACACTGCACACCCTTGGGGCAAATAAACTTCACGCTGAATTTTCCCCGGATCTCTGTGGAGATAACTTTGAGGAAGACGTCGTGAAATTTGACAAACTCATGCGCCGAGTTTGGATCTGATTAGGCTGATTGAGAGACGGAAGATATACCACCTAACAAAATACAATTGGAAAGGTGATAAGTCCATCGGACTGCCTCAACCTGCGGTTCTGCATACCAAAACTAGTTAACCACAATACTCCAATTCATATGGGAAGATGAAGATGCGCTTACCTTGACCCATAGCCGAAACCCAACCGGGTTCGATTGTCGGGCGCTCGCGAAACTGCCTTGCCACTGGAATGTGCCAACCACCATCTGAACCTTGATTACGCAAAAACCATTTCGCGGCGGAGATGAAGCGACTTGTGTGGAATAAAATTTCCGTGAGACCAGGTGACTCCGTGGACGATGGTCTTCCCAAACGCATTAGACGGATTAACCCACCCCCGTCAGGTCCGTGAACACCTGCGTACAATTCCACTAGCTCCACATGAATAAGCCTAGAATGTGATGGCAAATGCGACACAGTAAACGCTGAGTACGTTAGCGTAGGAACAGTGCTGAACGAAGTAACTACCTAAACAGCACATAATGGGGTTGCATCTGAGACACACGCAGTGATGTGCTCCTTGATGTATAGGGCAAAATGACAAACGGTGCATCTTGGTAAAATACATTCCTTCGCAGATAGGTGGTGTGCTTTGTCAAGAATGCATCTTCCTGTTCTTTATGAAAAGCATGTAGCTGACCCCACATTGCAAAAAGATAGAACAGCCATGCGTGCACTTAATTTACTCCTGAGTATCAGAGGTATCAGGGCCGAGCATTGGTTTTCAACCAATAGGTTAAGTACGTTTTACGGTGTGACTTAAACCGAAAACGACAGGGAAAAAACGACCAAAAATTCATATGGTCTTTTTCTTGATAGCAAGTAACAAGGAACAAGAAATGAAGAGTAGTAGATACCACTCCACACAGTAGGTCTCGCAAGCATGTACCATGGTTTCGTTACAATACATCGCATAACGACTCTTTAACTGTATGAATACTAACTGTTGAAAACATGACTACCAATGGGGAACATGAAGTACACATTCCCTTATGATGTGGGCTTACGGATTCCAGCTTTATGGTGGACCCTATGTGGTCAAATTGTTAAACTGGTGGCACTATCTTCAATGAATGGCATCTTGAACGTCACTAGGTTTTTCATGAGAAGGCTATGATTAGTTTGAACTCAGAATCTAGCCAGCTAATCTGGATAAGCAGTGGTAGTGGCTCGATTCACTGAAGTAAAAATGAAAGAATATTGGACATATTTGACAGGACTTCATTGGCAGAATCTACACAAATGGCAGGTCACTCGGATGTACTTCAGACCTCAAATCGGCTGCTTACACATAGGACCGCCAATCGCACAGCCTGAGGTATGTAAAAGCACAGTTGCGTTAGTTACATGCACTAGGTTACCCGTCGTATACGGACACAGGCACAAAAGGCCAGTGGATGTGTACTTTATCACTATGCGTAGCAACTTCGATCGCCAGAATTATTCATTTGAGGGCGACGGGTTTTGGCACGACCGCAGCGTTCACCACCAGGTAAATACCGCAATACCGATTCGTATGAGCGAGGGCTTTCATGTTAACATGGCAAGGTGATACAAAGTGATTGAAATACAGGTTATGGGTGGACGTTAGATGGCAGTAGCATTCTAATGCACAAGTAACACTCCCCACATCATCGGCTACGGGAGTTGGCGTACAGCACAGTCAAGGAATATGGACAATGTTAGTTGGAAGCAGAATCGCGGTTACAGAATCTGTCGGAGGGTGAGGATTTGATCGATGCATCCCCTTGCAGGACGGAACCAGGTTAGTTCGGCTACGGGAGTTGGCGTACAGCACAGTCAAGGAATATGGACAATGTTAGTTGGAAGCAGAATCGCGGTTACAGAATCTGTCGGAGGGTGAGGATTTGATCGATGCATCCCCTTGCAGGACGGAACCCAGGTTAGTTTTCACGGATCTCTCTCCCAGCGATCAGTCAAGGAGTGAGCAGCGTTCGCCAACTTGCGCCAGAACCAAAGATTAAGGGCCATGTATACAAGGCAACCATAAGAGCGATCACAGTCCTTGGGTGTGAGACTCGGCCCTCCGATCCGAGAACCTTGGGTGTCTTAAAGGTGTCTCCGTAGAGTAGCAACATAAAGCTGGCTGCGGTGAGTCCGCAACGAGGTGGTGTGTAAGCGAGTGCGTGCTAAGGAATCAGACCCCTTAGAGCAACAGATTAAACTTACCAGGTTGAGCTGGCTGGAGCATGTGCTGCGTATGCTCAACAAAGTCTAAAGAAGATAGCGTTGTTTTATGTTTTCATCGGTTGTTAATGAGAGGTTTGAGGACGATAAACCATGACATGGCGCGCAACCGATCCCAGTGGCGCGTATGCTATAATTTTCAAGCCGAGCTGTCCGGCTGAAAGTTCAACCGATGCACCATGCTCTCGGAAGACCATTTGTGGCTCCAGCTGGGTGGTACAAAAACTGTCTGTCGCCAACTACCTAGCTTACAGGAGTTGATGATGACCACGGAAAATTATATGTTGAACTCGTAAACCACTATTCATGAGGAAAAATAGGATTCCATAGTGGCTAACCTGGACTCAGATGAACCATCTTCGATCCACCCATCATTATCTCCATTAAACGAATGCGCTGAAGTTTTTTCAAAGCGCCAAAAGGATTGTCCGAAAACCTTTTGCAGATCACGCAAAAGGTCACGCGCAAGTTCAATCGATACTGAAGATCGTTCTGAGCGCGATGCATTGCCACAGAGGGGCATCCAAAAAGTAGCCGTCCTACCATCTGTAGAGATGGAGTAATGCTGAATCTTTAAGATGGGGAAGAGAAGAAAAATGATTGATGCGGGACTAAAAGAAAGGGATGGTAAGAACACAAACAAGAGCTAAACAGGCAATATTTTACAAATATTCTCGCATAGTACGTCACAGAGGAATGAAAGCGTTGAAAAGTGGCCTATGCAGTCACCACTAGCATGTGACGTATACAAGACATAATAATAATCGTTCAGCTGTAACACCCCTCCGGTGCCTAGCTGCCACCCCACCCCAAGGAAGCACGACGGCTGGGGTACTGCCAGCCAGGTAATCTGGATAAGCAGTGGTAGTGGCTCGATTCACTGAAGTAAAAATGAAAGAATATTGGACATATTTGACAGGACTTCATTGGCAGAATCTACACAAATGGCAGGTCACTCGGATGTACTTCAGACCTCAAATCGGCTGCTTACACATAGGACCGCCAATCGCACAGCCTGAGGTATGTAAAAGCACAGTTGCGTTAGTTACATGCACTAGGTTACCCGTCGTATACGGACACAGGCACAAAAGGCCAGTGGATGTGTACTTTATCACTATGCGTAGCAACTTCGATCGCCAGAATTATTCATTTGAGGGCGACGGGTTTTGGCACGACCGCAGCGTTCACCACCAGGTAAATACCGCAATACCGATTCGTATGAGCGAGGGCTTTCATGTTAACATGGCAAGGTGATACAAAGTGATTGAAATACAGGTTATGGGTGGACGTTAGATGGCAGTAGCATTCTAATGCACAAGTAACACTCCCCACATCATCGGCTACGGGAGTTGGCGTACAGCACAGTCAAGGAATATGGACAATGTTAGTTGGAAGCAGAATCGCGGTTACAGAATCTGTCGGAGGGTGAGGATTTGATCGATGCATCCCCTTGCAGGACGGAACCCAGGTTAGTTTTCACGGATCTCTCTCCCAGCGATCAGTCAAGGAGTGAGCAGCGTTCGCCAACTTGCGCCAGAACCAAAGATTAAGGGCCATGTATACAAGGCAACCATAAGAGCGATCACAGTCCTTGGGTGTGAGACTCGGCCCTCCGATCCGAGAACCTTGGGTGTCTTAAAGGTGTCTCCGTAGAGTAGCAACATAAAGCTGGCTGCGGTGAGTCCGCAACGAGGTGGTGTGTAAGCGAGTGCGTGCTAAGGAATCAGACCCCTTAGAGCAACAGATTAAACTTACCAGGTTGAGCTGGCTGGAGCATGTGCTGCGTATGCTCAACAAAGTCTAAAGAAGATAGCGTTGTTTTATGTTTTCATCGGTTGTTAATGAGAGGTTTGAGGACGATAAACCATGACATGGCGCGCAACCGATCCCAGTGGCGCGTATGCTATAATTTTCAAGCCGAGCTGTCCGGCTGAAAGTTCAACCGATGCACCATGCTCTCGGAAGACCATTTGTGGCTCCAGCTGGGTGGTACAAAAACTGTCTGTCGCCAACTACCTAGCTTACAGGAGTTGATGATGACCACGGAAAATTATATGTTGAACTCGTAAACCACTATTCATGAGGAAAAATAGGATTCCATAGTGGCTAACCTGGACTCAGATGAACCATCTTCGATCCACCCATCATTATCTCCATTAAACGAATGCGCTGAAGTTTTTTCAAAGCGCCAAAAGGATTGTCCGAAAACCTTTTGCAGATCACGCAAAAGGTCACGCGCAAGTTCAATCGATACTGAAGATCGTTCTGAGCGCGATGCATTGCCACAGAGGGGCATCCAAAAAGTAGCCGTCCTACCATCTGTAGAGATGGAGTAATGCTGAATCTTTAAGATGGGGAAGAGAAGAAAAATGATTGATGCGGGACTAAAAGAAAGGGATGGTAAGAACACAAACAAGAGCTAAACAGGCAATATTTTACAAATATTCTCGCATAGTACGTCACAGAGGAATGAAAGCGTTGAAAAGTGGCCTATGCAGTCACCACTAGCATGTGACGTATACAAGACATAATAATAATCGTTCAGCTGTAACACCCCTCCGGTGCCTAGCTGCCACCCCACCCCAAGGAAGCACGACGGCTGGGGTACTGCCAGGTTGCCCAAGCCTAGGTGAATGAAGTCGAGAGGCGGAAGTCGGGTTCAAACCACAGACCTTCCGGTCAGTAAACTCACGCTCTTATCACTTGAGCCATCACGCCCCTCTCCACCGACAAGACATACTCAACACCCTGAAAGGGTACACATTATTCTACCCAAATGGGAACCTCCCCGTGAAACCAGATCATCACAATCCCGCCAACTTTATGAATGGACCAATGAACAAGATGTTAACTTTACAAAAGGTGTCGGAAAATCTTGACATTTTTACATTAATACTCCTCTACCGAGGAATACGGTTCTTCAGAAATCAGGGAATGTGAGGACTGGAATAACAGTGGAGTTCGACCTTGTAAGGTAAAGGGAAGCAAGGTCTGGTTATTTCGGTTACCGGTGCGCACTCTCAATACTATCTGATGGGCTAAAAGCACCGATCCTAGCATGATCGCGTAATAAGAAATAAGACGTCCTTGACCTTAAAAGGTGAAATGAAGATCCTTTGGTTTTCAGAAAGTGTCATTGAACACTGATGAGCTAGCCTCAAGCCGTTACTTAATATGGCACCGTTGACGACTAGTGAAGTCTAGGAGCTTTTCTTCTGTTGTTACCCGAAGGCACTTCCGCAGATTACGTGCATCTCTAAACAGCGCTGATAAATCTGGAGTGGATGGCAATGCAGGCTAAATTCCACCAAGTTAGATTGGATTATGACGGAGGAAAACGCAGACTGTTCGTTGCATCGATATACATGGTGGTATTGAGTCTGAATACAACGATGTGATAGCTGACCATTATGTCACAAGTAGTGGACAATATCCCAAACAAGATATTACATCTGAGAGTGGTCAATCAAACCGCGAATGACACTTGAGAGGATTTTGCGGCAACTTGGGAGATTCACGGAATACCTAATTTATTGATAAGATTCCACGAAAAGATTGGGCATTAAGCTCCCTAGTGGTATCTCATGATTATTACCCATCTTATGGGAGTCATACTTCGAATAAGGTCAGCTAGAAAGGATATAATGTATAACCTAGTACAGAGTATAATACGTGTGACGATATCATATATCATGTAGTATGAAAAGGAATTTCCCATGAAACTATGGGTTTGGACCATCTTTCGAGTACAGACCCCGCATCGGAAGGAACCACTTTGAGAGGTCTTACGGGCGGCCCTACTGGGGGCAATCACTATATTCGCATTCCAGGCATCCATTGCGCGCTTTGCCAGGTCTAACGCGAAGAGCTCAGGAACTTCTCAGTGGAAAGAGTTAACAATTAAATGCTCAGATCGACAGGATTGTGGTTACCACGCATTACGACCTTACCAACCATTATAGACTACACTCCATCACCCCCAAACCCGCTTTACTTTCTGGGTAATAAGCCACGCTTGATGAACGGAATTGATGCTCACGGAGATATTTTCTCGAATTTTCCGAATTAGTGAGCGTGTTTGCTTTTAATGTTGAAAGAAACAGCACATCCTAAAGTCTGAGGTTGAATGAAAAACCCACATTCAACTATTTCATCAGCTATTGCTGGACTCTTGAGTAAATCGAAAAACAGTTGTATGAATGCTTCACTAATTTGTTTGTTTTGTTATACTGCCCCCCTACCTTTGAAGCTATGGAAGAGTCCGGCTTGAACTCTAAAGCCTCCTAATGAGCATGAGTACAAGTATTCCCCGCAGTATCTGCACACATTTACCAGTCAACGTTTCGAGACTCATTTATTTGCTTGCTGGCATATTCATCCATAGCAGGGATTCGGTTACAAAAGTTCCAGTGCACCAGTTCACCAGTGCACTGTTCAATGACTAAAATCCGATTCAGTCTATTTTGGGGCTCATCAGTTAGGCGAAGTCCCCAAGATCCCATCATACTCCTTGGACCGAAATTTGCAAATTATACTCATTTTACATAAGCAATCTCATGGGCAATTAGCCTCGAGAAAATATGCTGTGATATCTCGAGTAGCGTACCAACTGAAACAAGAGACAGTCTTTTTGCAGCATTTCGGTTCAAGAATATCATAACCAAGAGATTCGGTCTGGGTTCAGTTGAGTCTCCTGCTAAAACCCAATTGGCGTGCAAATCAGTGTATTTCACGGACCTGGTACAATTTATGCCTAAACAGAACGTAAGATTGAAGGGAACCCGGGGACTGCGTTTGCCTGATGAGCCCCAAGGGTGAGACTGAGCACATGTCGAAGAGCTTTCAGCAAAATTTAGAGTACTTTACTTCAAGAATTTAATAGCTGCTTATACTGAGGATCACACAGAATGGATTAGAATTCACCAGAAATTCAAGTAAACAAGTGGACGAAGTCATGACAGTACCTTGCTTTGTAGTGGGGATGCATTTCCACATGCATAAACTATTTCTTTCCACGAGGACGGGTCAGAGGCCGCCCGCAGTACACGCAACTTGACATAGCTCCCCTCGTGCCAGTCATCGCCGGAGAGGACAAAGTATCGCCAACGGGAGTGAATCAGTTTTGTGTCCGCTGCCCTGGCATCAAATGCCAGCAAACTCTCGGAGGAAGCTCCCACTACAAAGTGAACCACAAAACACGCAAGTGTTGGAATTTGTCTACGAAGGAAATTCATAGTGAAAGAACTCCTTACTTATCAAGCTCCTTTTACAGAGAGTTTCGTGTTGAAAGAGCTGGCCAGTGTTTTATCAGTAAGTGGGTTCGCTGTCGGCAAAAGTTACAGTAAGCCGAGTGCACAACGTATACAAACAGCATTGGCTTGATTTCTTCTCGTCTAAGGAAGTTTGATCTTGGCACCACCCGGGACACAGAACTCCGAAAAGATCATAGCCATTCGTAGACTCAACTAGGCGCAATCAAACACTGGGGCTGGGCATTCATGCTCAGTGTCTCCGCTTTGCCAATCACGGATGAAGACATTCTTCTGACATGGTCGGACACTCGTTGGTCATGTGAGGGAAGACCAGCAAGACTTATTCCTATTGGACGATTTTTTTGGGTGTACGTTTCGGTGTATGCGCCATCGCTTGGACTAGTAAGTACGTGTCTTCATGCTTTGTTCTGCCTTGGCTTGTCGCACAGTAAATAGTCCTAATTTATCACCAGCGGTTTGTACACGTGCCTTCACTCATTTGTCTTCGCCATCCACGCCCATGTCCACTGAGGCCATTCGAGGGAGTTTTAAACAAACTAGTATTTTAGAAGCACTGAAGTCCTTGAACCTGCCTCCACCCCAGGAACTTTGTCAATCTTGCGAACTGCGAACTGGGAACGACGCATATCCAGTTCACCGACTCGGAACTCGGGACACTCTGTACCTAACTTAGATCGACCGGAAGTCGAGGACATTTATAGACTTTTCGTGAGTCCTCTGCAGCGTTGTCCTTTATTCATTGGTCTTTTTGACTAGTAACATGCAAAGTGTGCAGTAAATGTGCCCTGTGTGACATATCAGAATAAGAGAAAAAGCATCCAACGGAAAACACTCAGTGTGGATAGGCTGACAATTGTACTGGATAGAGAAATTTACAAAATGCCGGTAACAGAGCTTCACTTACCTGAAAACCGATAGACTGTAGGCCTATCATCCAAAGACAAATGAAGAGAGCGAACAAAGTGTGGGTCCCTAGAATCCAACAGATCCACGTCTGTGACAGCTCCTGGGGACGCTGAAGTACCAGTATTATGAGTTCGTTTCTGTGTCAGAGTAGCCCATTTGGAATAATGACTCAACCCAAACTGGGCTATTTGGATAGGATATGGATAGGCACGTTGGCTCCATTGAGTAGAGAGTGGTATGCCTGTGACGTAGAATGAATGGGTTAGGAGGGACGAAACCATAAGACAAAATGAGTCAATTCCGAAAACCGCGCATCTGATGATCCTGTTAGCAGTAGTTAACTGTGTACAAAGGTCTGACTTCAGCAAACCTCCAACTTACAACCCCGTCGGTCAATTGCGGCCGATTAGGTATGGAAAACTCTCAGTATTCCGCCCTGTGACTCTAGTGGTCATGATTTTCACGACTTTTGTGACAGGAATTACTCCCACACATGCTTGCCCTTTTATTATCATTGATGATACGGCAGTGAAGCATCAGTGCCAACACTGACGTTGCTGTCTTTGATGATGATGATGATGATATCATTGATGATAACACCGAAAATGATGCTTCACGTGTGTTGGAAAATGAACACCATATTGAATAGAAACTCAATTACACAAAACCAGTGGAAAGAAAGACATGGGGAAAAGAAGACAAATCTGTGACCCCTCGTTCTCACTACCAGCGCTGTACTAGCCGAAATACCGCGCACGCTGCCCTGTGCTGCAGACACGATGGACCCCATGGTGATTCGCCATACCTTTGCCTGGCCGTTCAACAGATTGTTTTGAAAAACTACTAGTTGGCCCGTTACTGTTTCAGTAATTGGCCAACCTTCGATGTCGTCCAGATATCCAAAAAGCATTGTTTTAAACTGGTGAAGCGGTAAGGGGGATTGGGAAATCTCGTACAATATCCAAATCCGTCCATTCTAGATACGAGTAACTTTATCCAGATTGTGTAATCTTACTGCTCACTAAGCTTTGGATCCCTTCGTGGTTAAGGTACGAACTTACTAACCGGAAGGTTCGTGGTTCGAGCCCAACCTCGGTATCTCGACTGCTTTTGTGTAGGTTCGGGCAACCTGGCAGTACTTCAGCCCTCAAGCTTCCTCCAGGAGGTATGGCGGCAGGCACCGAAACAGTATTACAGCCGGACGGTTTCTTTTCATTCATTGGTAGGTAGTATAACCAGGGAAGTAAGCACAATTGTGTCAGCAAAGAGGGCCTCTCAAATCGATGTGAGAGTTAGACAGTAGTGCCAGGACGTCCAAGATCATTGCTAGTGAGTTACATAGCTTGCCGGCAAAAATGCATGCATTGTGGCCGACGATGAAACAACGGTTTAAAGCTAAGTTTTATTCTTTTCTAAAAAAATCCAATTACCTTTTCACTCACACATTTGCGCAACTAGTCTGAAAATGACCATCAAGCATACCAAGCTTCGTCACCGATATGTCCATAATACACAGTGGGATTATCTATACTGTCCTATAATTGCATCTCGCATCCAAGAGGTTGACGTGGGTGACAGGCTCTCCCGTGTATACTGTAGTAGTTCGGATCAGTACACAGAACCAGGTTTGGCACCATAATCCATAGTCAGCACTGGCGTGTCAAGCCTACTACAAAAGATTTAGTCACGAACGAGGCACGTTGCGATCGACGTAGAAAATTTGTCTGAGACACCATATCTATAGTTCCGTCGTCCATAGTGGACACGTATGACAAAAGTGCGTTCGGAAGTTTATTGTAATGTTCAACCCCCTTTTAATGCTCCGTGGGTTTGTCGTCACAATTTTTAAAAAAAACGGGACGCATCGTTGAACCTAACAAAGAACATTGAAAGTAGTCTGATGATAGCCAACGTCTCAGAACCACCACTTGTATGGGCTCACAACAACAAATTCAGTGATGTAACCATCAACTGGGTGATCTGCGGTGTGAGGGAGTATTAAATCTCAGGATTACCGCTAGTGCCACAAACTGTGATGGGGTGGTTGTGCTTCACACATACCAAACTATCTTCTGCCAAGGAGAGTCATGTTTTGAACGCCAAATGCGTGGTGGCGCAAACCGAAAGACGGACACCGTACGATTCGGTAGGAGAGAATGGTACTACCTACTTTTCAGTATGGGTTGTATGTGATCATCTCTGAGCTTGGCAGTGGGTTTAAAAACATTTCGTCGCCACTCGAGAAGCCAGCATGTTGTTGGGTGAATGGTGACAGAATGTTTGCAAAATAAATACCGAGCTCTCCGAACAAGTCAATGACTACGGAACCAAAGCGAGCTACCAACGGTCCGTAACACAGCAAGTTAGATTTCCTTGATGAACCCACCAAGACAATTACTCAGCTGAATCAGCTTTCCAGAATCCTCAAATACACCGGCTTCTTCCACTTTTTATATCTCCTGTCCATACACGGACTACCTTCGAGTTAATATCTAACCGACAGTTTAGCCTTAAAGGGTACAGCGTCTCGCACTGACCGTTCGGAGATGCAGTAATCTTGGTGTACGAACCAGGAAGCACAACACGCATAAGTTCAGCATCGCGTACAGCGGCGGTTGTCTCACGTCAGTTACTGAAAATATCTTTCGAAAAGGCTGCTTATAGCGTATTGCACAACGGAATTACTATATTTCTTTGATTCTTGATTTACTAAGCCTCCCTAATGTTAAACGAAGGTATTGTTCCTTAGGTTTATAAGGCGAATTAAATGAAGATCTACGAACGAGAATATGATTTGAATCGACCTGTGTAACCCAATATGACCGACAGCCAAGGACCGGACGGCGCCATGCGGTCATTTTGACTGAAAAGCTGCTCAGCAGCAGGAAATGCCGGGTAATACAACGGCTCCGGCTGTCTAGTTCCAGTATTGCTGAGAAACAATCGGTGATCAGTACGTGAGACATAATGATAAATAATTATCCATGTAATCATACAGTTAAATCGGTCTGGAACACAACTGGGACTTTTGAGATAACAGTATGGTGCTCACCTTCGTCTGCAAGTACCAGCTTCACGTGATGGCGTTTCTCTACATCATATTGATCAAAGAACATATACGAGCCAGTGACGTCATGGTTATCGGGTCTGGACAGTGGGATGCTAACACTGGTCTGCCGAACGGTTACTGTCTTCGCCTGCAAGTTTACAGTGCTGACCAACTGTGAGAGAAAATGCACAAGTAGTATTGATTCGATCTGTACCCTCTGCTCTCAATTTGTCAAGTCCCAAAAAGTGCATTCCATGGAAGGAAGGAAAAAATTAAATAAGTAGTTGAAAATGGCAGTTCTGACCAAATCCAGAAGTGTTGGAATAGGGGATATGCAGCATTTTTACGAACCCCGAGGACTTATGTCCTTCATCGAAGTAGTTAGATTGTTTACGTGTAAGGACGAAGGATACATTGAAGCGAAGAAAAGCCGCTACTTTGTGGCACGGATGATGTGGCCCATGTATTTGACGCAGTATAAAAATAAGATCAATAGCCTCAATCTAAAGAACATTCTAACTGGTACTCTCACAACTGCGTCCCGTGAGCCAGTTAGTTGTTGCAGTATTGCGTAACATTATAGTGGCATGTGCGAGGTTATACATGAGATAATCGATTAGGCTGAAAGGCCTAGGATTTCATGGGATCGTTTGGATTCCAAAATAATTGTGTAGGCAACTTAGTTAGGCGGAATATAGGGACTCGTCATCATCTTTGAATAGTCAGCAAATGAGATCTAAAGACAGTGATGCGCAAAATACTGGTACAAGCAACATTTTTCACGTGTTGGCCGAAATCCAAACAATGGGTGACGTCAAACAATCCGGTTCACTAAATACCTTCCTATAAATAGGAATTCGGTAAGTGGTACAGTTATTCGACTACCGATCATGAACGAATGTCCATTGGCCGGGTTGTAACGGCAACTAGAGGCTGAGAGAGTTAGAATAACGGGGTTAATTGATATCGGTAGGGATCATGGACGTCAGGCAAAGCCACCAGTTATCTCGTCAAGCCTTTTTGCGATCAAGAGGGACCTAAGAGGAGATGCGTTGACCAAAACTTCACACTCTGTCATATGATAGAACAAAGCCATACGTATAAATAGCTCACACCTTCAGTACACCTGGATTTCCAAAATGCACTTGATTCAACTGATGGGTCTGTCCTCCATTACACGCTTACTTTGAAGGTTTGTCAGTACTTTCAGACGTTCGGGCATGTGAGACTATACGGAGTGAAGCATTGGTGTTGAGCACTGATGTCATGCTGTCGTTGATGATGATGATGACGGAGAACCCTCCAGAAGCGTCTGCACGTAAAGTGATGTCCTATGTAATTTTGTGACCGATGAGACTATGAGATGAACACTGGTAGATCTTGAAAAACTTAGTGTTCGAATAACTGCTAAAGAAAATCCCGTCGATTTGGAATGTGCAGACAACGTCGTTCTAGTCTTCGAAGACGAGAAAGTGCAGGTGTTTCTGGATGAACTGATCAAAGTTATCCAGTCCTTTGACATGCAATGCGGACCTACAAATGTAAGATCACGCTCCTGGACATGCAGTCATTGAACACGCAACTTACAAGACAAGGAGGGCACTCGAACAAACGAACTATTAACGCTCGGGTCAACTTGCTAATTTCAGACGGCTACGGAGGTAAAGCAACATATATCTGAATTTAAATGGATGTGTGTATCGGGCTTCCGTATAACTGCGAGACAAGGCCTGTACAGGCAGTGAAACGCAGACGTCTTCAGGTCTCCGATAACAGCTGTCTCAGAATCTTAGCTCGTGTAGGCTGTTGCCAGCGAACTCATAACGAGACAGCTGGATAGCGGGTGTTCTGTTGTGTAACGGGGACTTCAATCGAATATGTTTAGCACCAAAAGCTGCGGTGATCAGACGATGTACTGAACATGCCGAATCGTCGTTTTCTGAAAGGAGTACTGTCTTCTCTGTCCAATTCAAAGTGGTGCAAGCAGGGAGGTGGTCAACGTTTGACCTGACTCAGAGCTGTCACCTTGTCGTGGTGGTCGGGCTAATGTGCTTCAATGATCCTGAGGGCTATAGCGGCTGGAACTCAGTTTATGAAGGTTCAACTATCCCAGGACGGCCAACGGGTAGCAGCCTGACGAAAAACAAAGACTTCCTCTGCTGCGAGTAATTGTATTACACGACAGTCTGTAGGTAAAGTCGTACTGTTCTGTGAAGGCGGTGTGAAGACAGTAAGGCGTTTTCTCAGGCGACCAGCATGTTCATATTTATGGAAGCAGCGATGCTGTCTTCCCCGATGAAGGATGGGTTAGAAAAGGTCCGCCCAAAAAAACGCACACTCCGATCGTCCAACGGTTGACCGTGACTGCCGGCGCCTTATTCAATACGGTCGCAGTACTTTTAAAACCAAAGAGCCCGGTGCTGCCCAGAAGGTACCTGCTATGCGCAGCCGCATCAGAAGTGTCTCAACCATCGCCCAGAAAAATAAACCAAAATAATCGCCTACTAACCTCAAAAGACCTAATCCACGTTGCAGCCTTCAATGTACGTACTCTATGTCAGATTGGGCAACAGGCATCCCCTGCAGAAACCTTGCTTTCCCTCTCCGTCGACGTATGTTGTGTCTCCGAAGCACGTATACAAGACCCCATTTCGGTCGTGCTCCTCAAGCCGCTCAGAATGAGCTCAGATGTTCCACATTTCACTCTTCTGGCATCCGGTGATCCTGACGCAACGGCTCATGGTATCTACGGTGTGGGAGTTGCACATAGCCCCAGGGCTGAAAGCACCTTACTGGACTGGATCCAAGTAAACAGTCGCCTTTACGCTGTGCGGTTGGCTAGCTCAATTAAGATTAACGCAGATCAATGCGGTAAACGATATTTGCTTGTCATATCAGCATGCGCCCCGACAGAGAGCAGTTCTGAGACTAAGAAATACGAGTTTTATCAAGATCTGTCAAGACTGGTTCGGTCGGCACGAAGGACGGATGTAGTAATCCTGGCGGGTGATATGAATACTCAAGTTGGATGACTAAGTTTGGAAGAGGTAAAGTTAAGTGGTCGATCTAGAGTCGGTGCTGAGCGTACGGATAATGAAGAGCGGCTTCTTCAGTTGTACAGATCCTGGCCAGTACGAACTTCCAACACAAACGCGCACACCGAGTTACTCGGAGGCCACTTACCACAAGATAATGGTGGACTCAGTTGGACCATGTGGCTATCAATTACCGATAGAGAGCCTCAGTTAAGGATTGTCGTTCCTTCTGGGGTACGCAACTGGACCCTGATCACGCCATCGTGCAGCCCTGCTTAGCACTTCGCTTTCCACCAGCACTACGCGTGCCGAAAGAGAGCAGCTCCGTTCATCAGCTTCGGCAAGTTTCAATAGCTGAAGAGTATCGAGCTGATCTGGCTAGAAAGCTACTGGAAACGCACGGTCATGTGGACGACGGAGATTGCTTGGAGGAGGAATGGAGGCACGTTAAAAAAGCAATGCCGTCAGCTTTCAGAACTGTTTGTCTGCACCCAACGAACACTGGATATCTTCGAGATCAGTAGATCTTGCTGTTACCAGAAAGGCCATACCAGCAACTGGCGACTGTGATGGCGCACGCAGATCCCTCAAACACCGGATAATCAGGAGCTTGAAGAATGACAGAGAACGCTGATGGATTTCGAAGGCCCAGGAGATGGAGGCTTTCGCTGCAAGCAACAGCTGCGCCCTGTTTCAACTGATCCGGTCAACGGGTTAAAAGAAAGCAGGTGTCAGTGAGACAATAGGCGGAAAGGACGGAACAGCAATTTACTCCTTCAGTTGCCTTCTTCAGCGGTGGGCCGAGCACTTCAAAGAATAGTTTACCTGGTCTCCTTCAACACAACCGCTGGAAGAACCAAGTGGACATTGACACCAATCATATGCAACCGAAATCCAGATTTCAATCCTGAAGCGCGACAAGGCACCTGGCCCGGATGGTTTACACCTCGCACCCTTCAAAAAAGGTGGCGGGGTCCTGGTGAACATTCTGACAACCATACTGCAAAAGGATTGGAACGAAAGCAATACCAGCCGAATGGAGCTCCTCAACCGCCGTCCCAGTTTTCAAAAAGGGAGTGAGAACATCGTGTGAAAACCATCGTGGTATTAGCCTGGTATCCGTCGCATCTATAGTGCTCTCTGGCATTAGTTTGCACAGGTTGATGGATTACTGAGAGAGACAGATTCGTGAGAATCAAGCTAGGTTTCGCCCTGATCGAGGATGCATCGACCATAGCTTTATCTTGAGACAAATTTTTGAACAGCGTCCCTCCTTCACGAGGACTACGTTGGGTGTTTTTCTGGATTTGAAAGTTGCTTTTGATTCTGTCGACCGTCAGCAACTTTGGCAGTGTCTGGCGATCAAAGGTATCCCTTCCAAATTTCTTTTCCTTATGAGGGCACTGTGTGCGAACTCCTGCGGGCGCGTACGAGTATGCGGGAAGCTCTCGCCTGAGTTCACCACGTCCAGTGGTGTAAGACAAGGCTGCCCTCTTTCCCCTTTCTTATTTAACTTTGTTATTGATATGCTGCTTGAAATTTCTCTGCCTGCATCTGAAACCTCGGGAGTCGAAATGCTCCCTGGACTTTCACTCAGAGACATTGAGTATGCAGGCGATATTGCTCTCCTTAGTTTAGATCCTTCGCAAATGCAAACGATTTTAAATAACTTAAATAACTCCGCCGCGCGGTTTGGCATGCGTTTCACACCCGCAAAGTGTAAAGTGCTGCCACAACACTGGGTGGGATCAAATCCATACTTCAAGCTTGCAGGTGAGCCAAGCGACGTGGTAAATAAACTTGTTTACGTGGGTGCTTTAAGGTGTACGCACCTAAGAACGATTGTGGCAAGCTAGCATTAGGTCTCATCCTCATCCACTATTATTTTTTCTCCACAATTAGGCTTTCGAATAAATTGTTTGCAAGACATCCGAGCACCACTGTTGAACACTGATGTCATGCTGTGAACAATGATGGAAACGGTAAACTGTATGTCTACAAGTGACGTTACTGGGGCGCACGAATTTTGCCTTACCCCATGAGGAATCCCCGGACATTTTAGGTATGAAGACTGCCTGACTACAGACGGTACAGAGTCACAACCGCTGTTGTGATATTATGATAGCACACAGTTGTTTCCGCTCGCTGTTTGAGACAATATGTTGACTGATATGTTGTGCTACCCTCTTGCATTGTAGTGCTTAAACTAAGTGCCTAGCAAGTGATAAGGTTAGTACCAGGTGCCTTTATACCACAAAATGGTACTTGTCACTGCGTCACTCATGGCAAATGCGTTACATGGAGTGAAGAGAATGGGGAGCGCCCTATCTTCAAAAAGAGTACGCGAAAACTGTATGAAGGCCACCGTGGTGTTAGCCTGGCATCGAGGGCGCTCCATGATCTATTGTTCGAAAGATGGCTGAACAGAGAGAGATCTGTAAACACCGAGTTGGTTTCCACCCACCAAGGGGATGAATCGACCATACTTTCACCCTCAACAGTATCTGGAACGTCAGCATTGCTTCCGGCAACTGTAAATGGTGGTGTTCCTCGACTTGAAAGCCGAGTTTAAGTCTGGGGACCGTCAGTCATTATGGTGGTGCCTATAGGGCAAATTTGTCCCTATAAACCCTTGATCCTCCATAAGGCACTGTACGACAAGTCCAGCGGACGTGTAAAGGTCTACCGAAAGATCTCGCCCGAGTTCAATACATCAAGTGGTATCAGGCAAGACTGTCTGCTTTCACCATTTCTCCTCAATTACGCTACCGCTATGACAATGGAGGACTCATTCCCAGCTTCTAATGCCTGTGGGGTCCAAGTGCTCGCCGGGGCACTTGTTCACAGATATCGAGTACACGGACCACATAGCTCTTTGTGGATCGAACGCTGTCGTAATGCAAACAATAATAATCTGAATAATTCTTTCTTATGGTTTGGCATGCGCTTTACACCTACGAAGTGTAGAACACTACCGCAAGACTGGGTGGGCTCGATCCCGAACCACATAATTATGGATGACCGATTGAGGTAGTAGACAAATTTATCTACCTGGACAGTTGTATCAGGTGGCGGTGGTCTACTTAGCGATGATATTTCCATTCGTATTGGGAAGGTCAGAGGAGCTTTTGTGAACCTGCATCACCTGTGGCGTAGGCGTGATATAAGCCTATCTGTCAACGGCCGAGTTTGTGATGCTGCGGTGCGCTCGATACTAATATATGGGTCTGAAACCTGAATGCTGCGAGCATTGCCCGAATGTGGTAGGAAGACTGGATCAGCAATGCTGAAGTACTTTGAATGGTTTTCGGAAGAAATAACTCGTCCACGATAGATAAACTGATCACACTCCATAAGTTGCGCTGGCTTAGTCACGTGCTTCGTATGCCGGTCGACCGACATCCTTGAAAAACCCTTTTCGCAAAATTGCGGGTCAGGAGAGGTAAAGGAGTGACTTGCAAACTAAGTATGAAAGCCATCGCCAGTGAACTCAACTGTTTTGGTCGTTGCCCTCTCTGTAGATAGGGATCCTGTGACCGGACGCACCAATGGTTAGGGAGATTGTCCGACATTGGTTAGCCGTGATCATGAATCCAGACTTTTGCCTTCAGTTCATAGCTTCCTAGTTAAAATCCCACCGACGCCCATGTATTGAAGGGCAAATTGCATCAGCGACCTTTTCCAATGCGTAGTTGTCCATTCTTACTTTCATAGATAATCGGAAAATGAAATTGTGGTAGATACAACCACTGCACAGGTACGCAGTTTTTAATGGTGATGATGACGCATAATCTGTCCTGCACAATCGTAAATGGACCACGTGGGCAGAGCACAGAGTGGGACGTGACAACCAGCTACATACCACACAATGTGTGGACCACTTTCATAGAATATCAGGGTGGAGAAACGCGGAAATTCCATCGAAATATACCAATGCAATCGATAGGAAAACAATAGAGTGAAAAACTGAAACCTTTTCAGAATATGAAATAAAAACGTCTGGAAACAACGGAAACGCTTACCTCAAAGGCAGTTTCGATTGAACGCAGCGGCACATATATATCCGTATTGTTCAGCAAGTAACATGCAGGAAGTACTGTTTGTTCCAAAGTGCAGGCTAACTTTATGCTTTCTTGCCCTCGAGGGTCAAAAGGATCAGGTGAGTGATTGGTGTGGTCGTCCGAGAGAGTCTCAGCATACATGAAAGCCACTTCGTCATCCACCAAAGGGCTTCTGATAACACCATTCGGTGGGTCTGCATGACGCGAAATTCGGTTGTTCAGGACGCTGAGCATAAACAGACCCAAGCCAATAAGTAAGCCATAGTAAAAATTCCGAGGGCGTACGTATTTATACATTAGATTTGCATTGCCCGCGAGAAACCAGTCATGCTCCCTAAAAGAATAGGAAGGACCAAAAGTTGAAGACGTCGGCTCTTTCGTAGCATAGCAAAAGTAAACTGGCTGCAGCGAGTCCTCAACGGTGTGGTGCGTAAGCAGGGACTTGGCACCAAATCCGACTCGTAAGAGAAGCAGATTAAGCTTACCAGATTGAGGTCCTTCAGCTGTAACATCCTTTCGGTGCCTAGCTGTCATGCCACCCAAGGGAAGTACGAGGGCTGGGATACTATCAGGTTGCCCAAGCCTAGACAGGGGTTCGAACCGCGGACCTCCAAATAAGTAAATCCTCGCTCTAACTACTGATCCATCTCACCCGTCCGCTCGTTTTCCTTAAGGACATGGGCCCTATTTGCGCTAATTCTCCACCCTTCACGCATCTCTCCAGTCCTTACTAACGCTTCCTACACCGATGGTCGTATGGTAGTACGCCGGTGCATTGTTGTCCATCACGATGATGGTTCTTATTGTCTAAAATTGTCGCAACAGTATAAATGGTGGACCCACTACTAATCACGTTTCATTATAATTCGGTTTCACACACAAGCATCCGAAGGTATTCGGTATCAGCATCATCGGTGACGACAATGATGCGTGGCACCGCGTGGGACTATCTCTCTCTACCAGATAGAAGTAAATAGGCACTGGCTGAGGAATTCGCCGCCAGCAGAGCAGGCGGAAGTAAGTCGGGACGAGGATCATGATGATCCCTGAGTAAGAATAGAGACTCGGACATTTCTGATGCCCTCTTGGAAGCGGCTCAATATTGACAGTCCACGTTTCTGCTAAAGGACGACAGTCCCGGAGTGGAAGCAGCAGGTGGTCAGATCCAATGTTCTCCTTTTCTGGATACCAGGGAGTCGTTTTTGTTTCTGATGATTTCGTTGACAATTGGCTTCCGAGAACAAGTCAAACGAATCAAAAGGAATAAACTGCACAAATTTCCATCATTTTCCCTTCCATTTTTCAGCTCTTCGGACCCAGCAAGCTTCCAGGCGGTCACAAACACTCCGTTTTACGTGGCGGCGGATGGTGCGTTGGGTTGAGTTCTAGTTGCAACCAGCAAGAATCTATCGCTGGGCCTCCAGCAGAGCCACAGGCCTATGAGAGATCCAACGTTTGAATGAGGTTGGTTGGGTTGTATCGCAAATACAGTTCATGGTAATGCTTGGGATATGTCTTCATTGACCGTTAACATCCGACATCGGAGCGGCCGGTGAGCGACGGATGACCCAATTCTGGTAAGTTCGTTTGATTTTTGGGTCGGTGAGCTTCTCAATACTTGAGGGAATTGAGCGCATGAGCAAACTGAAAAATTTAAATGAAAAGTAACAGCGGACAAGTGCATAGTCGGAGTCCACGCTCGTACTCCAGCCGCAGCGGTAGACAGTGATCGATCCACGCCACCGGCAACTAATGGCAATATGGTCAATTTGAATTCGCAACTCATTCCTTGATGTGCATCACACTGTCAAGCCATCTCCACGGTTCCGGAAGTTGGTACTGGAAAGGGACAATCTGTGATCGGCACACATCTAATAAAAGCGCTCTCCGTTGTAAGTGCGTATGGTGTCTAATCCAAGACCAACTCTCGATTGAGCCTCAGCCGTCCTTTATCTGCTTACCTGGATGCTCGTGTCACCAAGAAGCACAACAATGTCTGGGCTTTAAGACTGTCCTAAAAGATCACCTAGAGCGTCAGTGATAGTCAGTTGGGGCCTAAGTATATTAAAAAACAGGATGCGGTTGTGTCCTGGCTATTATTTGTGTTATTATTATTATTGCTTCATTACTCCTTCGCATTAACCTTGCTTTTATCTCTAATTTCAAATTGTGTACGTCTATTCTTAGACAAGTAAGCCGCTATAAGACCTTTTCTACTCTATACGGTTCTCTCTCTGTCCCCACGAATCACGTTCCACATGAACGTATGTTTCGGTTTCAATGTCGATCATCCTGTGGTTTGTCTACACCAACCGGGCTAACTACTCCAGGAGCTCAACTCAGAAGAGCTTGGAAAACAATCGGTAGTTTTTATTTGGGCAACGTTTCGCTTTTGACACAAAAGCTTCATCAGGCCAAGTGAACAGGTCACAAAATTGGTCAGGTTATAAGACAGACGGGGAACCAATCAGTAGGTTCTCTTCAGACTAAATCAGTGTTGAGTGTCAATTAACGGCTCTTGTCGGCTAGTGGGGGTGCCAAAATCTTGAATCGATGTGTTGGAGGGTTCCAAATTAGTTCCGATCGCTTTTCGTTCCTTAATCTTCCACTTCAGAGTGCTTCACTTGATGATTCGCCTCGGGTGCCGCTGTTAGGTTTTCCTTAGTCTTTGTGGGGTTGTGAGTGTTCCGACAATTTAGTTTGAGGAGGGTTGAGGTCAAGTGGAATCCAAATGATGATTACTCTTCCTACTGATGACCGCACACCAACACGTGTCAGCTCGAGTGACCCAAGACCGTTCTCCACACGCTAGCCAGTTCTACGCCTTCCATTCTGTTGACACTGGGATGCTTGGCGATTTCTACCGCCTCAGCGATCAGTCTGTGTGACGTGGACCGTAGTCCTCGCCTCAAAACCCCAACATTTTCTAAATCTATTTTGTGTCCTGTGTCTAGTGCATGTTCCGTAATCGCCGAGTCTTTCAGTAACGCTTGATATTCATCTGCGTTTCTC